ATAATCCATCAAGTTCAATCTCCACCATGAGTTTATCATCAATGGAGTTTTTCCACCATTTACATCAAATTACTAAAGAGAAATCCTCAACAATGAAAAGAAAGACTGACTTCAAACATAAACTAATGAAAACCCTCATGAATCAAGAATTTCTACCAACAAATGATCTACACTCATTCAATCCGAGAAGCCCTAGAATAAACCCAAAATAAACAACAAAATCTCCATTGATGGAGAGTCTAGATCAGAAGAATGAAGAGCTTACCTGAAGAAGGTGATTCCTCCCTTTGATTCTTCTCCATATCAATTAGGAGCTCTCAGATCATTCTCTTTTCCTCCCAAAACACACACTACACCTTGAGGCTATGAGCTACAAAATGGTTAAAATAAGAGCATCCCTTCTCATTTAACCCTTACTTACAACATTGATCCCTGAAGGTAAAGAATGAAAACATCGTTCACTCTAAACTCAACAAAACGATAAAGTAAAGGTATGGGTTATTATAGTAAATTCTCATTAATCATAAGCCCTTTAAATGGGGAAGATTAATAGAGATAATGATAAGCACAAAAGGAGATTTACTCCATACTAATTCTAAACATTTATGTCTATCTTTATCTTCACATCCTTTTGACGATGACATACTTATCCTACAATACCCCTCCTAGTTGCCGAGTCAAGAGAATGATGTTGCACGATTGTTGCCTTTGTTAAATCCCTACTTCAAAATAAAAACTCAGTAAGATAAGAATAAAAATAAGACGAAGGAAAAAGTACAATGCACCAATTTCTTTGTAGTATATTCCTTTAGTGTAATAATTCTTACGATTTGTGCATTAATCATGAGAGTTAGGAAAGAAAAATGGTATATAAATTGTTGCCTTACTAAAATCTTGCACTAAGGGAAAAAACCCAGTAGAAAAAATAAAACATTGGATGAAGAAAAGAACACAACATACCAGTATTACATGTATAGTAGGCTCTCCCTTTTGTCTGCTTCTCCTCTTGATACATGCATTAATCAAGGGAGTTTGGATAGTCTCTGCATTCCAATACTTTCTACATGTTTCCCAAATATGGATTTAGGTAATGATTTGGTAAACAATTATGTCAAGTTCTCCTTACATCTTCTTGATTCACTTGAATCTTGAGTAGAGTTTGTTATTGTTGATTCTGTAAAAGCTAAGGGGAATATGCTTTGTGTCATCACACATGATGTATCTTACTTTCATTCATTCGATACATGATGTGTATATATATATATATATATATATATATATATATGCAGGTATGATAATGGTTGAACTCAAACCACTAGTTTATCTTATATGTTTAATGGCAGTCTATAACCATATACACTTTTGAGAAATCTCATGTAGAATAATATTCTTGGAATAGTTTGAGGAGGTAGCTACAAGGGTTTGCTTACTTTACTTTTAAGCTATCAGTGTGTTCCTTACTGTAATTCCTTATCCAGTTTGGAAATGACCTTTCTATGGATCAAATAGATAGTTAATATCAACAAGGACATACCAAGACATATTTGGTGCTTAGGGTTGGTACTTTGACTTCTTACATTCTCAGTAGGTATTAAACATTATCAATTCCATTTTCACTCTGTAGGAAAAGAAGAAGCCCGAGTCATGGTTCATTTTTAGATATTTAAAGATATTCTTGATATCGTTCTAATGACATTGCATTGGTGTTAAGCTAAATCTAGCTAACAATTTCATTGAGAATATAATATATGGTCGAGTGCATAGTGCTAAGTACAATAATGTGCATATTGTACTTAGATATGTATTTCTAGCTCCCTACACCTCTTCTTCATCATCATTTAGACGAAAGGATATTTCCTTATATCCAACACATTAATCAGTCATGACAGTGCTAGCCGAATGCTTTTTGTCCATATTAGATTGTCTAATCATTTTTTGGACATATGTGGATCGGTGGATCAATATTCCACAAACTCAATGTCGTAGCTCAAATAACTAGTAGATAAACAAAGTTTTCCCAAAATCTCTCATCTTAAATTTAGATTTGAAGTAGCTTGTGGTGGTTTCTCTTAATTCATATGGATATATAAAGCTACCATTGAAAATCTGGAACTCGTTTTCTTTATAAATACGCAAGGGCATAGTTCGTGTTCTTATATCCATTCCTAAATCAAGTATTCACTTAGACGAGTATGCTACATCCGCCTGAATTTCTTTAATCCATAGAGTGAACCTTTCAATTTATCTGTAAATGCACTCTATGGTTTAGAGTTACTTGACTTGGATAATGTAAGCCATTAGGCAATAGGCGCTTTTATATCTAAACCTAGATAAAAAAGTTTTTATTAGTCTTTTATGTCTGATTCATTAAGAGGTAAAGTCATTTAGACTGTTTGTTTTTTCTAATTTTTCAGAGGCATTTATGTCTTATTGTCCTCTTATCTGGTAAAAGGTAAATCAATCTCTTATTTGTCTCTTATTATTCTCCAAACCTTCAACAACGGCATTTCTCAACCGATTAACCTTAATCGATCATTTCTCTCAATCAATCATCACTTCTCTCAATTGATGTATTTTAATAAGATATAAGTGTGTTAAATACATTAGTGATATATTTTCGTTTAAATGAATGTTAATTATATAATTTAGATGTAAATTTCGTAATGATGATGAATAAATATGTGAAATTGTATAAACTTATTTATAAATTCAACAATATAATTTTTTAATGGGTAAAATAGACAATTTAAACAAATTTTAACGTTTATCAGTTTACAAAAACAAATAATCTTATTGATTCAAATTTCAGATGCAGCTCCAAGTCTTATAATTCATAAGTGAAATAAGATTTCAGACTTTAGCACATCTTAAAAAATAAACGTTACCTAAGTCTCCTTGTGATCATTCTAGGGGGTTATGAGAAACCTTGTGCCAAAAGGATAGCCTTATACACAAGGACTTCGTTATTCTCATTATGCTTTTTGACAAAGACTCATCTATGTCCTACGGGCTTTACACTTGATGGATTAGCACTGCCAGACTAAGTACATGTTTCTTGTCAAAGAATATTATTCTTTTTGGATTGTTTCTTTTTATTTAGGCCAATATGTTCTTTGTTGACGTTTTTCAACTAAGTGTGGTTCGATGTCATCATGCTTTATCATCTTATGAGCAATAATATACGTGAAAATACCATCAATGGGCATTTATGATATCCCCATCGACTCATGTACTCTTATAGTTCATTTGAGATTTATTTCTTCTCTTGGAATCAATATTTGGAGCGTCTTCATGTAATGATTCATGGACATAGTTATATATAGAGACAATCTCGTGAGGAATTTTATGTATTGATGATAAATGGTTGTCCTTTATCTTCTCTTCCTTTAGAGTGGTATCTATCGAACCAAATAGCTTCCACCATTTCCTTTTGGCAGCCATGACCTCAACCACACCACCACCATGTGTGATTGCAACGCACTTTCCAACGACATTGTGCCCTTGTTAGGGACTTTTAACCCCTTACGAGTATATTGCAACTCATAAGTTTGGAGTAATTAACCGTATCAGGTATTAAGTCTAATTTGTTTGACTTCAACTTTACATTGTGAAGTTTTCGGATCAAAATGAGATAAAGTGGGATATCCTATGAAACTTCCTGTCATTCCCATGGAAAATCATTTTTCGTATCTCCCCCTAACGATGGAAGACTGTCTCATCAAAGTGACAACATGCAAATCTAGCGGTAAAGAGATCATCCGTCATGGGTTCAAATTAGTTGATAATTGTTGGGGATTTATATCCAACATTTACTGAATTGTCTTTAAGGACCCATTTTGGTGCATTATAAGGGCGTAATTGTGTAAAATATCAAGCTTATATCTAGTTACCAGTTGGTACACATGATACTGAGTGAAAACTAGTGGGTCTAGAAACAAAAAAAATAAAGTTGCATGTAATATTGCATAATCCTAGACAAATATGGGCAAATTGGTGTGCATAACCAGTGCCATAGTGTTGGGTCACCTATTGATTTGGTGATGACCCACTGATCTGTCCCACTATCCTATCAACATTGGTTTCTTTGTATATTGGTTTTTTGGTACATACTTAAAGCTCTTGCCAAAATTGAAGACTAGCTGATGTGAAGACAGAAGGTCCCCGATGCGGTACTATGAATCAACTATCTAAATTACATACCAAGACTTCAAAGTAACTGATTTGAAACATACAAATGACGAGTCTTCTTACATGATAAATGAAGTTTATGGACCAATTTTGTAAAAATCACCAAACCACATAGATCATATCCATTTAATTAACTCAAATGTACGAAGCAACAGGTGCATAGAAGTAGGGGTGTCATTTAGTCGGTTTTCGTTTTTATTCGGTTTAAGTTAATCGGTTTTCAACTTTTTTGAAGCTAACCTATAAGACTATAACCAAATAAAATAAGGTTCAAATTAATCGGTTTCAGGTTATTCGGTTTTTGGGTTAGTCATTTTGGTAACTTGTTAAACCGAATAAGAATTCATATTTTCCGTTAAACATATGCTCCCATAATTTTCCTGAATTAAATACCTATTAGTTCCAATATATAATTATATTATACATTCATATTCAAGAGTTGATTTGTATTAACTAAAAAAACATTATATCGTAATAATAATATATAAAATAATAAACCATAAGAGTGGTGTCTGATTGGTTTGAGTTTGGCTCCAAAGGTCAAAAGTATTAGGAGGTCTCAGGTTCAAGTCCAAGTAGGAATAAAAATCCATTTATGGCCACGGAGGTTCAAATGCGGTAACTCCAGGCTATCTACAAAACAGGTGGCCGTCCTAAGATTAGTCGGCTCGCATAGCGTGTTGGATATAAAAAAAAATATATAATTGGTATTAAGTTTATTTTTATAAAAATAAAATATATAAAATTGCAAAGAAAGGGATGAACCGAGCCGATAAATTAAGGCGTCTAATTCCCATTTTCAGCTTGATTTAGCCGGCCCGATAATGAGGAAACAGGAAGGACGTAAGAGGAAGCTGGCGGAACTCAAATGCTCGCCGTCAAAGTTGGTCAGAAATGCCACCGGAATCAATCTCACCGTCAATGACCCTTATCCCAACCACCTACCACCTACGTCTGAAGAATGCCGAGCCGTTCGAGACGATCTCTTAGCCTTCCATGGATTCCCCTCACAGTTCGCCAAATACCGCGAACAAAGATTAAACCGTCTTTCAAGCGAGGATGAATATGGATCCACGACATCTCCTCCGACGGCAACGGTGGTTTCTCCGGCGGAAAGCGTTTTGGACGGGCTAGTGAGCACGATATTGTCGCAAAATACTACTGATGCGAACTCTCAAAGGGCATTTTCTTCACTCAAATCTGCTTTCAGCACATGGGAGGATGTTAGTTTCTCTCAAAACCCTAACCAAACTATGGCTGTACATGTCATTACTCATTAGATTGGTCAAGCGATTATTAAAACTAGACCTATATGTTAGGCAATTTTGCTATTGTTTAACTTAGGGTTAATGCCGGAACTCCAAATTGCACAATTTTGAGCATGCAAATTGATTTATACAATCAAACAAGATTACTTTCAAATGCAAAGCTGGTGTGGATTTTGTTACAATTTGAACGCCATCTATTTTCCTACTGTTATTGCTTGACGTAAAGCTAATGTAGTTATCAATTGATCTTGAGAATTTTAGAATCCATATCTCTTTTGAAGTTAAATTTGTTAGCCCGTTAAACCTCAAATTTCAAAGCATTCCCTCTTAATGGAAGGAGCAAGTTCTTTTTCTCACAATTTTTGATAGAATCATTGCTACTTTTTTGGATATTGGGCTTTTGTATGCTGAGTTTATACACGATATTTGTTTCTCTGGAGTAATTATTGTGTAAATGCCTTAGGTTCTTGCTGCTGATTCGAAGTGCATTGAGAATGCTATAAGATGTGGAGGGTTAGCCCCAACAAAGGCTTCTTGTATAAAGAATATGTTGAATTGCCTGTTTGAGAAGAGAGGGAAGTTATGCTTGGAGTACCTGCGGGACTTGTCAGTTGATGAAATAAAGATGGAACTCTCTCGATTCAAGGGGATCGGGCCTAAAACGGTATCTTCTGATTTTATTGCTATTATTCAAAAATCATTATAGATCGCAGGAAGCTCAACTTTAGGACCTCATAACATTCTAAACTTTAACAACACTCTGTAGACGTAGCTAGAATATTGCTAAAATAACAACTATAATACCTTATGTTATCTTAGGTTCATTTTAACATCCTAATGAATTGAAATTTCCAACTTAATGAGGACTAAAATCATGAGAATTAGAAATTTAGTTTTGATATGGACCTTCATCGTGAGGCAGCTGCTTAGTAGTTTGCATAATTGATTTTTATATAGAAATTATTATCGAGTGTGGTTAGCGGTCTAATTGAAGTGGCTGAGAAAGTCGATCATCATGTACCAGATCATAATCCCCAATTGGTCAAAGAAGTTTTATAATTTTAAATGAATTGCAGGTGGCATGTGTATTGATGTTTAATCTTCAGCAAGATGATTTCCCAGTAGATACACATGTACGTTGATTCAACTATTTCAAAGAAGCATGGCAATTGGGTTTTTAGCTGACTTTGGGACATCTCTACAGATTTTTCAGATTGCAAAGGCAATTGGTTGGGTGCCCATAGAGGCAGACACTAAGAGGACATATCTTCATCTCAACACAAGGATACCAAATGAACTGAAATTTGACCTAAATTGTCTTTTGTTCACCCATGGTAAGGTCTGCCGAGCATGCACAAGGACAGAAGGTAACCAGCAAAAGAAGGAAAGTGACTCATGCCCCTTACTTAACTACTTAAGAAAAAGTTAATTTTCGCTGCACATCCTTTTTATCTTTCTGAAAATATTCATCTCACTTTGCTGAAGTGTACAGAAGATTGAAGGTAGAGTTTTTTGGATGAGTTTGGAACATCTTTGGTTGATCTTTATGCTCACTATTATATATGAAACAAAACACTTTTGAATGTATAATATTTATCCAATCCGACTCTCATATGTAATATAGAATCATATCTACTTAGGATTTAGGAACACATGTTAATGTGTGTGTATATGTTTCCCTTGGTAACAAGAACTTGTATACTGCATTAGTGGATAAGATCAACACATGGGGATGATTAAAGTGCACCGTATCAAATTTGGTTAATCTTGATCATCAGTAAACAATGTCCAATAGCTTACGGATATTCCCCAAAAAAGTTCAATTAAAGTTGCCAATTATCCAGTTGGAAAGCTGGTCCATCATAAAGGTTCTGCTCCCTTTTAGGTTAAGCTTATTGTTTCAAGAATTAAGAATTTTCTTTTACTTAGTGGCCTATATGGAGGCATCCCTGTATTCATGAAAGAACCTTGTTAGTTGATACAAAAACATCATCTTCCACTTCTTACTTTAATATATTTGGCAAGATTATGTTCAATTATTGTTTCCATAAATGTCAAGTTGAGAGCACTATCGATTGTGTGTGGAATATTAAAACACAGAGTTCCTTATATGATCTCCGAATCAAAATGCAACTTTTGAGACTCCTAGGTGGGATTTATTAAATATCCCAGTGCCATCCTGATGGGTGGAATTTTGACCCTTCATTGATCTCCTTGTTGCATTTTGGGTGTGCCTATTTCCAGATATTAATAGGCTTGGATCCTTTTTGAAAGTTGAGCAAAATCTTGGTAACAAGAGTGGACAAGTATATCTCAACTTTATGACATCTTAATCTTATATTAATGCAACTTGTAGAATTTTTTAGTCCTCACTGTGGTGCATTAGATATCCTCCATGCCATTCATTAAAATCTGTGTGCTTGTAATGTACTTCCTATAAATAGTAGGATGTGTGCTGTATTTCTCATCTCAAATAATGGAAGCCATTACCTCTGACTATGAATCACTTGGAATTGTTAGGGATAGAAAGCTAAAACTCTTTGGTTTTCTGATCGATCCTTGTGCCAAAGGTCCTGAAGATGGACGTGAAAGTTCTTGTGTTGGTGACACCGTCGATGAAAAAAGGGGTTTTATTTCTTCAAATCCCAAGAAATACAAATGCTCCTTTTGTTGTAAGAAGTTTGTGAATTCACAGGCTTTGGGAGGTCACCAGAATGCCCATAAGAAGGAGAGACTGAAGAAGAGAAAGATGGAGGTTGAAGCTAAGAGAGCTAAATTCAACCTTTATTTCGAATCTCCCTCGAGTCATCATACCGTTGATCCTACTCTATACTTCAATAGTTTTTCCTCTTATTTTAGCTACTCGTCCAACGACTATCACAATATGAACTTTAGGAACATCCATATCATCAATTTGCCTTGCTCCAATCACCAACAAAATGGCTTTACTTTTGGGATAGGACATAATGGCACATATTAAGGGTATGAAAGTTTGGTCACTGGAGTCTCTTCCCCTGTACAGGTTGAAAGTCATGTGACCAACCAACCTGTTGCATGTTTGTTTGTGCAAGAGGGTTTGTAATCGATAATCCTAAAACCTAAATTTGGCCACTGATATGATTACGACTAAATGAAACTCTTGAAGCTTAGCCAAGTTGCTTAAGGGTGTGTATCATGCCCAGACAGAAGATGAAGAACCGGACAAGACAGGACAGTTGTTCAATGTTTAGTATGACATGACTGGACTGGTAAAATGACCAATTAACCTCTAATGAGTTGTTTATATCTTTTCTATATTTTGATTACTTCATGTAATCTATTAAAAATCAATATTTTTTATAAAAGTATATTGGAAAATATTAGTTCTATCTTTTTCCATGGGATTGGGGTGGAACATGTCTTTTTCACTCTGTTTTTTTTTTTTTTTTCTGTTTCACATAATTCATGTCATTGTTTTGTTAATGTGTTATCATGTTATGATCAGTGTATCAAATGTACCTTAAAGAAACAACCAAGGTTCCATAAAAGATATTATAGTCAAAAGGTCAAAGATTGTAACATGGGTTTGACACCAGCCGGATGGCAAGAACTAGGCCTAGGCATGGAAATGGGGCGGGGACTTCAATCCCCGTCCCCGATTACTTATATCTATCTCTGTCCCCATTTCCACCGAGGATTATAATCACATCTTCATCCTCGTCCCCAACGGGGAACGGGGATCCTCAATGGGGAAACGGAGATTTTTTTTCCGTTTATATAAGTTATTTTGAATTAAATATGTGAGAGATCATACATGTTTAAATCTCAAACATTTTCAATAAACCTAAAACCAAAATGAATTTAATTTAATACAAAAAAACCACAACATCATATAAAAACTAATAACTTCAAAAGAAAATCAATTTAATCCAAAAAAGCTTATACTCACATGTACCAAAAGATATTGAGTAATATTAAACCATATCGAGTAATATATAAAACTTGTCGAATAATTGTATTTTGACTTGAAATCCAAAATATTATATATTAACATCCAAAAGTAACAATTTTAGATTATAAACCTAGTTAGGAAATAGAAAATTATTAATTACCGTTTTAGTTAAAATAAATAATATATATGTGTGTGTGTATATATATATAATTTATTAATTAATATATATGTATATATAACGGGCACGCCGGCCCCGTTTGAGACAAACGGGGATCCCCATCCCCGATTTAGTGGGGAATCCCCGTCCCCGACCGGGGCGGGTGGACCGGGTTCCCCGACAGGTCGGGGCCCATTCCCACGCCTAACTAGGCCTTTTTTGGATAATTAAATTGGTTGGTTCCATCCTTAGATATTCTTATTGGATATCTGTTGGATCGAATTGGATCCAACCAATATTAATTGGATTGGATCCATTCAATGTGTTAATTCAATCCAATTTTCTAATATTGAAACAAATTGATTAATCGCTTTTAATATGTGTTAAAACCAACACAATTGAGGATAAAAATTCAAAAATCAACACAAAACAAATTCTGATTTAAGCAAATTATAAACAAATTAATTGGATTATAGTTGGATGGATAATTGGATGGTAATCAGATGCTTAATTGGATGATGGTCTGGTTTTGGACTGTCATCTCAGAACCCACTCATCCAATTTGGAGGTTGAAATTTTCAATTCTATTCGATCCAATTACAATTGAATATCCAATTATGATAGACTGTTTCTAATTGGATTGGTCGGTTTTAATTGGATAAGTTTAACCATAGGGTAATTTGATATTGTGATAGGTACAAGCATTGAACCCACCAAAGAATTGGAAGTAATGGGCCAATGGGCATGCTCAAGATATCATCTTACCGTCTTACGTAGAAATCGTCGATAATACACAACATATAGCTAACTTGACAGAACCCGTATTTGTTCCCGAGCTTTTTGAAATTACTAAAAGATAGTTCACCAAGGCTTCGGTTGACGGCTTCCCTGTCATCAGGTCACCAACTTCCTCCACCTTCTGGCACTGGGAAATGAGTATCGATGTATTAGGTGCATCCGTATTTGACCAAGATGAAGCTCGGGTGAAACTAACGTATCGAGAGAGAATTTGATTTGGTTAGACAATGAACAAGCTTTTTGGGGGAGAGATATTATTTCAGCAACCGAGTCTCGTAATAAATTAAAAAGTTACTTCTGCTACCCAGCCGTCATCTGCTTCTCACGTTTCGTAGATAGCCGAGACATTGAGAAATCTAATCTATTTAAAACAAAAAAATGACTAAATCGAAGATCGAGTTGGTAATGATTAAAATATCTCTTTATTTTATGAATCCAACCAAACCAAACCATATCTTATTTACTCTTAGAATATATGGCAATTGAGTGCACACAAATCATAAAGACAATAGAGGGAAACCATGTGGCAAAAAGACATTCAATTGGTCAAACAAACAAGCGTTCGTACAATTCAAAAGAATGATGGATGTTATTAAAACCGACAACAAGACAATTCCGCCATTCATCACATGATTCCATTGTCGTACCTTTCAAGTTTCCAAATTCTTTTGACCATATCACAAACCAACTTGGTTGCATACACCTCTAAAAAAATCTCCAATTGATGATATTGGATTTTTTTATACGTTTTCGGGCCCAAAAATATTTCGTTGGAATAAGATATTTAACATGATTTCTAATAACTGCTTAATTCATATCAGTTATGGTTCTACTATGATACCTAGGCTTTTCTTTTATATCTAACAAGTTACAAATCATATTAAATATGATCAATTTTGACATGAGTTTTTTTTTTTATTAACTTGGATATCCAACCCGTTATGTGAGCCGACTAATCACATGACGACCACCTGCTTTATGGGTAATCCGGAGTCACTGTATTTGAACATTCGTGACCACAGGAGGATTTTTATTCCTCATTGGATTTGAACCCGAGACTCTAGGTAGGGTTGCTCATGTGAGTTGATCGGGTTGAAAACATTTGAACAACCAACTCAATGCTTACAGTTTGAAAAATCTTAACGCAAACCGTACGGGTTGGTCGGGTTGATACTTTGATACATTAAAATATTCTTCTAACCTTAATTATGTTATTTATCTACTCATAATTTATTTTCCATCATCAACCATTTGATACAACTTATCCATACTTCTTAAATCTTACGTATATCACATTCATTTAATTTTCTCAATTTACATATCTATGTTCACGGTTACTGAACATATATACGAATAAGTTATATAGAGTCTAGAGATAGAGAATGGATTGAAAATATGTATATATGAAAAGAGTACGTGATAGTGTAATTGTCTAATGTATATATTAATAGAAATTCAACAATCATATTAAATCCAAGAAATACAAGGACATCGGGTTCATCGGGTTGGGTTGAGTTCAAATTATATCAACCAGTACCTATGGTTTGAAAATTTTACAACTCGATTAGACATCGTGTTGAGTTGTTTCGTGCTGGGTTTTTGGTCGGGTTGGTCGGGTTTTTGAGCACCCCTACCTCTAGATACTTTTAACCTTTAGAGCCTAAGCTCAAACCAATCAGACACCATCTTTATGTTTATGATTTTTTTTAATACATGATAGTGAACATTTTTAATATTATAATGCCAAAAAATGGGTTGTTACTTGATAAAGGCAGTTTGGTAAGCTTTAAGATGGTTGTCCTTGAACAACCACATTCTTACTTTTGGATGGCAAGGTGAGTCATGTCATGCATACCAAATTGTTAGGCACATTATAATCACATTCTACTTATCATTTAGTTTGGGATTGCTTATAAAAACAACTTATTGACTTATTTCGGTATGACATCGGTAATAAGCATTTTTGAGTGTTTGGATAAACAACTTATACCGGTGTCAAACCGGTAATAAACAGTTTTTTAAAAAGTTAAACATTTCTGACTTATAATAAGTTAATAAGTACTTTTATAGAAAAGCATAAGTTGTTTCAAATAAATAATCCCAAACACCCCCTTAACCTTCAATGCCCTTTGTTTCTCCTTTAAAATCCAATATGTAGTGGTATGAAAATTGATGGTTAAATCCAATAATACATATTATCTTTTAAATTTAAGATTTCGTTTGATTTTATGTATAAAGAGACTTTTAGAGCTAGAAGGAGCCTATGCTCCCCCTGAATTTTTAGAGAGTAGGCAAAGTTCAGAGACGTTTTAGCACTAGGAGGAGCCTGTGCTCCCCCTGAATTTTTAGAGAGTAGTGCAAATGAACTTTGCGTATTAAGTTGATATTTATGGTATTTACCATTTTGTGATGTGATCTATAATTAGTGTACAAAAGCATAATAAATAATAAGTAATTATTTGCATATAAATTATATTAAAATAATAAAATTGATAACAATTATTTTATAGAAAAAATTATTGCATAAAATTGTACAATGACTTGAAAATCGTGCTTAAATGTATTACATATATATATCTATTCTTTACCAAACATAATGTAATTGGATATACGTCTCATCATATTGATTAAAATATAACTGTGTTTTGATTCTTATCAAGTTTGTTTATGTTTTTAAGGGGTTGTTTGTTTACCTCTTACTAGTTCCATTAAGAGGCAGTCTCTGAATTGTTAACGGATGAATCTTGTTTGGCAAAAAAAAGTATGTCTCTTGATGGTTCCAAAACACTCTAAATGATTTTGTATCATGTGTCTTCCTTAATCATTAAGCGCCCTAATTTCATTGTAAACAATCACCAAACAATTATATTTAATTTTGCACTATATCATGAGAACATCTTAATCATTCTGACCACTTAATCATTAAACCATTCAGCAACTTCCAAACAATCCCTAATTTTCATTGGAAAACTTTGTTTAATAAACAAAATTTCGTAACATATCTATCAACTCATTGATGTTTTTTTTTTGCTGAATAATAATAGGAATATAATACATTTATACAATTTTAAAAGACAATTGGCATTTAGTGAAAGTTCAGTTAAATATGAATGTAACAGAACTTTACGTCACTTTCAACAAGTTCAGGTAAAATATGATAGTAACAAAATTTTAAGATGGTTTGTCTTAATTATATTGATTTAGTGTTAAAAATAATCATGCGGTCCAAGTGTCCAACTTACAATATTTAATACAAGTTGGTCTACATCAATGGGCTATTTATAGTTTGAATAATTTCGTGTATGTCGTGAATAATTATGACAATCATATTTAAAACGACTAAAAAACAATATTAAAATGTCATCATGTTGATTTATAGTAAGTTTTGGGATGATCACATTTTTTCAAATCAAAGTCAAAATAAAATATATCCTTTCAATAAAAATAATTATGTAGTTTTGTGAGTAAATAACACAAATTGTCCTTATGGTTTTGTTGATCATCTCTCTCAGTGATTTGATGATAATTTTTTTTATCTAACGAAAAATACTCTCTTTATTCAGCTTCAATGATTATCACTGAGTCTGTTCAGTGATCGTTGAACAAGTATTGCATATCTTAAGAGATAAGTATTCTTTAAGAAAACACCACAAGAACCTTCAGTGATATCAAAGATAAAGCTGGAGATAAAGACAAGAAGTTAGTGATCTGATGCGGTTTCAGTGATAACAAGTCTATCTACAAATCTGTGAAGTCTACTCAAGATTCAGCATACACTGAAGAAACCTTAGTTTATTTTAGTGTCAACGATCAAATGAATCTTGTTGGTCAAGACTAATTTTTATCTTATCATTCTACAAACAAAGGACAAACCCATACATCTCAAACTAAAGCACTCTTCCGGAGTTACTCTATTGTCTCCAAACGTGCTTACCTACTTTGTGAAGTACCACTGTTCATATACGACAAAAGCCTATATATCTGAAGACAAAAGACAAGCTCACCTCTAGAAGCTTGCCACGTGCCTTTTACTGTCTGACTTGCATTTAATGGCATTTAATGCAATATGTATAAATAGCTGAGAAACCCCTTCTTCTCAGTATCTTGAAAAAAAAATATGCCCAAGAAGAGACACCATCACAATTCACAAACACAAATTTCTCAACCTTGCAAAGTTATATTTACTTCAAGTGAAGAACACCAACTAAGCTTTTCCTTTAGCAAAGTTATTGTTTCTTCTTTTAGCAAGTCTTTCATTTCTTGCTTTATCTATCTTGCGTGTTTCCTCAATTATTTTAGATAACTTTTGTACTTTATCTTATTCTGCAAACAGTCTGTAAATTATGTATTGATCTTCTTTATCAATAAAGGATTTTAAAAAGTGTTTAATTTATGTGTGTTTGTATTCACCCCCTCTTCTACAAACTGTTACATTTAAACTCTTGTAGATCCGTTTGGGACCAACAGGTTTTGACAAACTCACCCTGTCCCTTTTCCCTCTTCTCGGTCATTCCCCCCCCCCCCCAACCATTGACAGTCACAACCACTGTTTGCCTTCCCTCTAAGAGAGAAGAGAGCCACAACAGTGGAGAACACCGCCAGTAGCAACACTACAACCATCCATTTTCCCACCATAACAACAATCATACTAGCACCTCCTCTCACCAACAATTTCAAATGTCCTGCAACTACCAAAGTCAACTAGTCAAGAAATCAAAGAAGTTAACGATCTTAAGAGCCACCAACTTCCTCTTGCACACATAAAGAAGCTCATAAAACCTTATGAAAATGCTCCCACGATGTATGTCGAAGCTCTAATCCTGTTCAATAAAGCATGTGACATTTTCATTCTTGAGCTCACCATATGCTTTGGCTCAACACTGAATAACACACCCGTTGAACCCCACGATTTGAACATTGCAAATCTCTATTTCTACGTAGACAACAAGATATCTTGGGTTTTGTCTTAATTGTTTGGGTTATGTTTGTTCAACAACTTAAATATAATCTTCCATTTGTCATTCGTACGATTTCCATGAATAAATCTCGCTTGCATCATGGTTTTCTTTTAATCATACAATGTTTGAGGGGCGATCAGAGAAGCAGGATGGAAAGAGGAGTGGTTGTATAAAAAGAAGAGGGGGGTGGTTAATTTATTACTATTACAATGATTTAAATAGTTGTACATAAAATCTTTAAAGATTTAAGCTTTTAAAATTTAAAAAAAAAAACAAGGAGATTTGAATTTGGTTGTGTGGACGGTCCCTACCCCTAACATCCGTTAAAAGTATCCATTAAGTTGAGAGTCAGGTGCAATTTCTATATTCGAGTGGTTATTGGTAGAGTTTATTGAAACCACATGGGACGATTGTTATAATTTATATGAATCATATATTAATTTTAACAACAAATCGTATCAAAATAAAACTTTTATTTATATTTTGGAAACCTACTTTTAAAAAGTCAATTTTAAAGCCTACAATAAGACATTTAAAAGAAGAAAAACTAATACTTTATTAAAGCTTCATGTTTGAATTTATGTAACTAACTCCATATATAAATAATTAAACACATGATAAACATTTCATTTTAAATATAAAAAATTTAAAAAGATAATCA